TGGGGGGACACAAACATTCAAACCACAGAAAATATCAATTTATTTTTTTTTTTTTTTTTTTTTGTACCCTCATGCCATTAGTATTTTATCCAAGCATTTCACATGCAGCCTTTCTTTTTAGGCTTTTTCTCTAAGGTCGGCATGGTAACAAGATAGTGGAACTATTTTAAAGGACCAGTGTTTCAAATAACATTTGAGAAATGCTGGCATGATGTGCTCCAAATACAAAAATGTCAATGCTTTGTTCAAGAACATCTGTCTTTTGGCACTGAAGAAAGCATCCAAGAAACAACTAAAACAACCAACTGCTAAACACAAGTACTACAGTATTTTTTAGCTATGTTTCATTGTCTTCCCTTTATAATCATATTAATGTGCAAGAGTAGTAAGAGAATATCAACCTGAAACATTGTAAAGATGCTGAATTGGAAGCTCAAGTTGATGCCATACTTGTTTTAGTACAGCTATCTGCAGAATTCCCTGAGATTCCCAACAGGTCAAGGTCTGCTCAGGGTGCCTGGGGGCAGGGATGGGGCCTCCTAATTCCAAGAAGCAAAAAAGTCTGAATGACAGGATGTTGTGCCAATTCACACAGAGATGCCCTTATGGGGAAAACAAGGAAGCTCCTGAAGGACAATCAGATAAAAATTAATTATTCAGCCAAACTGTCACCATGCCTTGCTTGCCTGCCCCCCTATGTGGTCAGCAGAACTCTATGCCCTTTCCTCAGCCCATCTGGGGGTCTGAGTCAGTTCGGGCCTTCACTCCATCCTGGTACTGCTCCCCCACCCCCCAGATACTCCCTGTCCCTCCAGTCCTAGTTCATCTCTCTAACAGGGTTTCCTGGCCTGAACCCAGCAGCTATCCAAGAGCAAATGTCAATGTTTCCCCACAGAAAACAGTAAGTATCTCATAAATTAAGAGGAACAGTGAAATAAAACTGTACAAGAAAACTAGTAAACAAAGATCAAAATTCTGAAATTCACTGTAGGCACTACCCTAGTTTTCTTTAAAATATAATCAACTTAATCAAGTTTTCTTTAAAATATCAATACAATCAATTTTGCTTCAATTTGAGCAAAAGTACAATCACTTAAATAACAGCAGTTAAACTGAAAATGAGGCATAAAATTACTTGTGAAGTATATTAATTTGTTGCTTTGAGTCACCCGTGTCTATGTGCAAGAAAAAAGGCCCATTTTTCATAAGATAATCAAAAAATATTTATTTATTTATTACATTTATTTATTGTGTGTGTGTGTGTGTGTGTGGCCAGCTCAGCCCACCAGGGGGAGGGCTGCCTGGCATGTGGTGCTGGGGGATTGAACTGCGGTCCCTGTGCTTTGCCAAGCTTGTTCCAAGTAGGTGCTTTAGAACACTGAGCCATCTCTCCAGCCACTCAAAAAAGATTTAGTATGAAACTTATTGGTACAGGGAAAAAAACTAACTTATGAAGTCATTTTTATGGAAAAACTAGCTGACTTTATTGTCAATGCCAAACAAGACTTTAAATTAAAATTTATTTATTTAGGCATAAAGTTACTTACACATTTGTCTACAACCATAGTAAATACATTGCTTGGCATAAAAGTTGCCTTTATTTCCAATTTAAAATACTCCCAACTGAAAGATTGCATATATAAAACTCCTGTTATTGCCTATATAACAGTGGACTAATCAAATTAAAAGTTATACGGCTTAGAATAAAATAAAATGTAAATAATTTACTCAAGATTCATATGTAAATCATCTTTATTTACAAAATACTATCCTGAGAATTATAATTCCATTAAGCTTCAATTTGAGCAAAAGTATAATCACTTAAGTAACAGCAGTTACTTAAACTGAAAATGAGAGATAAAATTACTTCTGAAGAGACCAAAAACATTGTCAGGTTTCTTGCTGTGGCTCGGGATGCTCAGCAGCAGGCTCACTTGAAGGTGGACTCAACCCTGAAGGGAATTCACTTCTGCTCTCAGAAGGTGGGGGTGGGGGGAAAAATCCAGCTCTTGGGGGAAGATAATGAGGAAAACCCCGTGGTGAATAGACACTTCGCACTGTTCAAAGAGATTACAGAAGACATTTTTTAACTTTAAGAACCTGAATCGCAACCCTATTAAAATCACCATCTTATAAATTCCAATGCCTATTTGATAATATTCAAAAACTGACACAAGAATTATTTAATCTAAATGTTAAATTTTTACATGAAGAAAAATGTTCTTTCTTCAACTATATGTGATTGATGCAAATAGAATTTTAAAAACAATTTTTGTCCTAGCACTTTAAAAGACACTAGAACTATTTCATAATATACAAACCTCACTTTTAAAAACATTTTCATGTAATAACATTTCTACCACTTAACAATCAGATCAGTGATTCTGACTTCATATTATACTATAAATTTCAAATGATATCATCATCTTAAAATCTCTCAGACAAATTTTAAAAATAGAGGACAACTGAGAGAATGACAACATAAGACAGAATACAGACTTATGTCTAATATTTGGTAACCATGTATTTCTGCAGAAATGTAGTTCTGAATGGTAGAGAATGGCTATAAAAATAATAAGTTATTCCTTTTTTCTTATATGAGACTATGAAAGATTTTTAAATAAATTCAACATGATAAATACATCTTGGGTTTTAAACACGTAAGACTACATGGGAACTACTTCTGAAAAAGATTTTTAAAAACAAATTAGTCAATAACTTCTTTTTTTTGAGACAGGGTCTTGCTACGTAAGTTAAGCTGGTGTTGAACTCATTATGTAGTCTAAATTAGCCTCAAACTCATGGCAATCTTCCTGCCTCAGCCTCCCAAGTACTGGAATTACAAGTGTGCACCACCTAGGTTACCAATAATTTTAATCCAAAAATATAAATTATAATTAACTAATTACCAAAAAAAGTAATAAGTTTCTATTGAATGAGGCAGACCATAGTGGCATATGCCTGTAATCCCAGCTACTCAAGAGACTAAAACGGAAGGATCACAACTTTGAGGCCAGTTTGGACAAACTTAATGAGACCCTGACTCAACACAAAAATGCAGCTCCCTGGGGTCAGTTCCCAGGTCTGGGAAAAATAAAGTGAGAGACACAAATAGGTTTTGTCTTAACATAAAACTACTGCAAAAAGTCAATGATTTTCCAGACTACTACAATAGAGAAATAGCTCCAGGCATGGTGGTGCACACCTGTAATCCCAGCACTCAGGAGGCTGAGGCAGGAGGATCACTGTGTTCAAGGCCCCCCCCCAGGGTTCATACTTCAAGCCCAGCCTGAACTGCATAGTGAGACCCTGTCTCAAAAAAAAAAAAAAAAAAGTTCAACATTATTAAGATAAATCAGGTTGTTTGGCTGCCCTTCAATTTGGAAAAGTAATAAAAATAGTACATTCACAGAATGTCAGAAAAATTATTCTTCCACTGTATTACCATATGAATAGGTAGTGAAATTACTATCTTTGATTTACTATATAAAACACAAATGACATTTTTTAAAAAATAAAGCCTACTTGGGAATGGTGGAAGTGGACCAGAGAAATCCCTTGGAGGAAAATAATCTCGAGGGGCTCCATACATGTTTCCTGGAGGAGGTAGAGGGAAAGGAGGTCCTCTCCTCATGACCTGGGCCCTCGGATACATTAGAAACGGCTGAGCTCCAACTGGAGGAAGAGGTAGAGGAACAAAGCCAGGGCTGGTTGCTTTGCTTTCAGCAGGGAGAGAAGAATCAGGCACATTTGAATTCTGCAACAAATCCACATATGGCAGTCACTAAAACAATCACAAAACTCACAACAATTTTCCTAAATATCTTAGGCACAGAACAAAGTACACACACAACTAGGCAGAAAGCACCTCATAACAGTCTTAGTTAACAGAGCAAAATTTAGTTTTCCACATTAACTTATTGACTGGGTTTATGGACTCAACAAAAACAACTTTAAACAACAAAGTAATATTCTAGCTAAAGCTAAGACAAAAATGTTCAACGATTTCAAAAATGCCCACTTTTTTTCATAATTTAAAGACAGGGTCTTGCTAAGTCACCAAGTTATCCAGGCTATGTTCAAGCTTTCAATCCTGTCTCAGCCTCCTAGAGTGTGGGGATTATAGGTGTGCACTACCACAGCCAAACACACACTCTTTCACCAGGCACTCTTGGCAAGATGCTTCTGTTTGTATTTTCAGTGATAAAGCCAATGTTTTAAATGTAGTAAAAATGAAGTACATGTAGTACACAAAGAAACTGGGGGTGCAGCGCAGAGGTACAGTGCGTGCCTCCCCCATGTAAGGCCCTGGGTTCAATCCTCAGTACTGTAAAAACAGAAGAACACCCCTGGATTTGGGGTTTTTTTTGGTTTTTGTTTTTGGTTATTTTGTTTTTCAAATAAAAACCCAAGGGAAGGGGGCCAGGGAGATGGCTCAATAGAATAAGTGCTTCCCTGGCAAGCACAAGTGCCTGAGTTCAATCCCTGGTTCCGCCAAAAAAATAAAAATAAAAATAAAAACCCAAGGGAGAAAATTTAAACATCTTATTCTATTAGTGAACTAATTTAAACCCTTAGCCTGCAAATTGTACCTTATCTCCATAGTTTAAAATCCATAGAAGGAAAAAATTTAAAAAAACAGCTTTAATGCTGTTGGAAGTGAATTTAATCAAAAGAAAAAATTTATATCACAAATATGCTATTAGGTGTATTTCCATTCTACTAAAATAAATGGCTAGAAGGGTCCTTAATACATGGATAAAATTGTCTTCTATACTTACACCAGGATTATCTTTGGTATCATTCCTACTGGATTCCGTTTCCGAAGACAATGGCCCATCTAGACATAAAAGTTAAACCACAAAAAATACATGACTTATTTTATTCTTAGATTACTTCCAGACCAGAGCGCACATTGGTATTTCCTCACTCTACTTGTCAGCAGGCACTAGCTTAACACCAGCATTGTGTATGAGGGTCACAAGTACAGCTGGAGGTGCACAGAAACTGTCAGAGATGAAGAGCTCTGCGGCGGCAGTGTGGGGTGATGATTGCTCCAGCGAGCCCCAGGCAACCTGCTGCTGCTGCTGCTGCTGCGCATCCTGAGGGAACCCCTGGGAGGCAGCACTTGTCTTCCTTCCATTCTCCTTCCCTCCTTTATCCCCTTTCCTTTCTTATTCATCCACCAAGTAATAAAGATTAGTCATCTGAATTTAGCCCATTCCTGCCTCTGACAGCATAAATGCAAACTTCTCTCTGACCACAACCATGACCTCTTCTCTCTTAGCTCCCTCTCTTAGCCAATCGTCTTCCATCTGTCCTTGGATATCACGGAGGCTTTGAATCCTCAGTTTCACCCTTTCTTTGCATCTTTCCCCTACAATTGCAAAGTCTGTCTCTTCAACCACCTATTAGTATCTTTGCCTGGTTGGTCATTTTTCACTTTTGTATCTCAGCATAATCCTGATTAATCTAGAGTTCTGCTTCTATTTAGCTTACCTATATCTACACCACCTAGCACTCACCGGAGGGGGGAGAAAAAGGCTTTCAAAGCCTGATACCACTCCAGTGTCTCCACCCAATTTCAGGTGCAGATAGCCTGGCCCTCCTACCTGTGTCTTCCAAGCAGGCTTTCTCCTCAGCAATCTGAGCCTCCATTCTCCCCATACCCTTCAATCTGATCAAGCATAAAGAATTCATAACTATATTACACTACTATCAGGACCCTACCAGACAACCTATAACCCTGATCCTGGTCTCAGAATCCTTCTCCTGGAGCTTCCTCAGGGATCTTCTCTGCTCTGCTAGCTCTTTTTCCTCTCTTTCTGATACATCCAGTTCTTTCCCTTCTAAACTGTGAGATAAGAAGATTCCTTTCTAGCTACATCTGTCCATCATCCACAGCTGTCAAGTATACATTGTTCAGAATTCCTCCTTTTTTGATCTCATATAATCTATTTGTAACATCTACTGTATTCCACTGAAATTATTTTCCACAAATTAAAGTCTCTTTATGTTCTAAATTAAAATAGACACTATTAATCCTTATTTTACATTACAGTAGCCACCTTTTACTTACGGTTTCACTTTCTGTGGTTTTAGTTACCTGCTGTCTACTGTGGTATGAAAATATCAAATCAAAAATTCCAAAACCAATTTAGAAGTCTTAGACAGCACACCTTTTAAGCAGCATGACACAATGCCACAGCATTCTATGCTGCCTTACCTGAGACCTGTGTCATTCCTTTGTCCAGTGCATTAACTCTGCATACCTTACTGGTGCATTTGCCTTAGTAGCCAGCTCAGTTATCAGCTAGATACTGACTCTCACAATGATAGTACTTGTGTTCATCAAGTTACCATTATTTTACTGAAAAATGGTCCCAATGTACAAGAGCAGTGATGTGAAGGAGGCACTAGGGCAAACAGCATGTGCTCTGGTGTGTGTCTAGATGTCCATCCAAAAGCCTCATGGCTCACAGGACTTTTTTAGAGGTGGCTGAATCTCCAGTGGGTGGGTGACTGCTGGAGCAGTCCTCTGCAGTCTAGGTAAGACAAAAGGTGCAGAAAGATGCTTACCTCCCGCTTTTCACTCTTGTTGCTTGTGGCGTCTTCTGCCACTAGGAAAAGCTGTCCCTCTGCCAAGCCACCCTGTGTTGAAGCCAGCCTATTATGAACTGAAACCTCTACAAACTGTCAACTAAATAAACCTTTCCTCCTTTAACTGTGGGTGTTGCATATTTTTGTCACTGCAAGAAGAAAAGTAGCTAAGACAACATGAAAAGACAGGTGCTATGTCACTCTGGTGCTATGTGGCAATGCCACAGGAGACACAGAACAAAATATAGTAGAGGGTTCACTGGGAAGTCCTGAAACATATTCTCCATGAATAAAAGGGTGTGACTGAATGTTCTGCTACTGCTGACCAACCCTCCCTCTTGAAATGCTTCCAACCTCTTTCCATAACAAGACCCTTTTCTCTCTCGAGCTATTGCTTGTTTCAGTATCTTTAAAGTCTACTATCTCCGACCAACTTTACTTAACTAGTGGTATCTCTGAGGGCCACTCTAGACCACTTTTTATTCTTCCCTTGAGAAATCCTATCCACTCATATAGCTTTACTTTGATATATTTAATTAGCCATGAGTTCCATCTCTGTAATGCAGATCCAGATATTTTTGAGGACTTCTAAGCTTGACCCACCTCATTCAAGTCATCAAGTTGTATCATAAGTGTTTTTTTGTTGTTGCTGTTGTGTGTTTTGGGGTTTTTTTTTTTGACAATTATTTAAGATCTTTATTAACAGGTGCTTGCAGTTTGTTGACTTTTTTTAAAAAAAAATCAAGTTGTAAACTTTTATTACAAATTAAAAATGAAGTTCTTAAAAATCTCAACTTGACCAGATATGAAACAATTTAAAAACCTTTAAAGGTGTATTGAGAAAAACCACGCTTTTTAAAAAAAAACACGTTTGTCATTACTAAAAAGGTAAAAATAAAAAAAACCTCATGCTGCATAGATAATGCAGATAGTTCTAGTTACCTGGTCAGTGGGCAAAAAGCAAGCACTTAAGGTCTTCAGTTCCAATCTTTTGTTCATTTCTTATCACTGGAATTTCCTATTCGTTTCCTTCTTGCTGGATGACTAAACCCGATGATGGTAGAGATGTTAAGCCAGCGTTTACTCAGCCCCGCCCTGCTCAGCTTCGGGAAGGACGAATTCTCAGCTGGTGGATCGGCTGCTTTTGTCTCTTTGCCATCTTGTGGTTTAGGGTTTTCTGGGCGTCTGCACTGAAGTTGCGACGGTACTGACGTTGAGGTGGCTGCTGACCTTGGGTCTCATTTCCTTGATTTTCCTTATCTTCTTCATTGCCATCCTCTCTAGGCTGTCTTTGGCGAGGAGGGCCCCTGCGGAATCGTGATCTATAACCTCGATACATAGTGTGTCTCACTTGTCTACCCTGTTCTCCTGTACCCTGGTTGTCAGCACCCTCCATCACTTCTTGCACAGGAGGGTTGGAATACTGTGGTCCACGCCCATAGGGTCTCCACATATAGTAAGATGGGAACCTTAGTCCACGGTAGGGCCGGCGTTGTTGGGCCTGGCCTTTGGGAGCGCTCTCCGATCCCTCATTCTCTTCCCCACTCTCACTATTCTGGTAATTCTGCTGGTAATTGCGTGGAGACCCTATGACGTGGATAGCATCTATAATGGTTATGGTCTGCTGCATATTTACTGCCTTGAACTGGAACTCCACCAGGGCCTGTAACATTTGCTGCTTCCACACCCTTTTCTCCTTCAACAACATCAAACTCCACAGTCTCTCCATCTCCTACACTGCGAAGGTACTTTCTGGGGTTATTCTTCTTTATGGCAGTCTGGTGTACAAATACATCTTCCTTGGTGTCATTCCTGTTGATGAAGCCATATCCGTTTCTTACATTAAACCATTTCACTGTTCCCAAAACCTTCGGCCGCTGTGAGACATTGGTGGGCTGCTGCTGGGTCTTGGCCTTGCTGCTCATGGTTGCGGTGATGGTGACTGGGGCCAGCTGCAGCAGCTGTGGCTTCTCCCAGTGTGTGATGGTAACTAGGCCGGCGGCGGTGGTGGGGCTGCTCAGGGCTCTCTGGGGTCCGCTCTCCACTCCCGCTACCAATCAAACTCTGTTTTATTTTTTTAGACAGGGTCTCACTGTGTAGTCCAGGCTGGCCTTGGACTTGGATATGTAGCCCAGGCTGGCCTCAAACACATGGTGCAGTCTTCCCAGTTGTGAGGTTATAGGCATGGGCCATTATGCCTGGCTAGTGCTGTTCATTTTACTCAAAGTATAACTTATAATTTTTCTGATCAAATTGCTCCTGTCTCTGAATAATAAATGGTATCTCCCTCTATTCAATCAAGTACCACAGCCAGAAACTGGGAATCAGCCAAGACCTCCCACATAGCTTCAGTTCTAACCCTATTTCTCCCATGTCTATTCACATCGATCTAGCCCCTCCACTAAATCACCACCACCACTCATATTGATTCCTTTCACAATCTCCTAAAAACCCTTCATCCAATCTTATTGTTCCCTAAGCTCCATAATTACAATCACAGAAATTTCTCCACAAAATGCAAATCTTGTATTATTGTTCTGCTTAAAATCCTTTTAACGAACTCCCATTATCCTGAGAATAAGGTTCAAGTTTCTGAACAGTTTGCAAGGTCTTGCAAAATCTAAACCATGCTTCCCTCAGAGACCACTTGCTTAAGTATTTCCTGGCACACTCCAGGGTACAGCCATAATTGACCATGCATGCTTAACTCCAAAGCCATAAATATGCTACTCTTCATTCTAGAACAGTGGTGGCAAACCTACAATACATATGTTGTTTGTTTTTCTTTTAGGACAAAAGATGTTAATGTATGAGATGTTTTTTTCTAAACTAAAACCTCAGCATTGAAGATGAGGTGCAATGTTGGCCCTTTGCAGTATGCAGTACATAAGTGGAACTGGAGTTGCACTCAAGTCTCCAAAAGGCTTGGCAGCACGGTTCTAGAACACAACCTTCACCCTTCAGTCCAGCTAGCTCTTCATTTAATTTTCAGTGTACACGCCACTTCCTTCAAGAAGCTTTTCTTATCTCACACTCAATACACTACCACTTCACGTGGGTTACTGTCCTCACAACTACTGTCTTCTATATAGCACAACTTCACATACTCCTTCATTAGATCTCAAGGAAAAGGAATACTGGGCACCTGTTCATCACTGACACAACAGCAACTACCAGAATGCCTGTCTTTCAGTAGGCATTCAATAGACAACAGTCAGGAGCCACATAACTATATTCAGT